AAAAAAAAAAAAAAAATACTTTTTCTCAGCTGAGCCTAGTGGCTCATGCTTGTAATCCTAGTGCTTTGGGAGATTGAGGTAAAAGGACTACTTGAGGCAAGGAGTTTGAAACCAGACTGAAAAACATAGCTAAACCTCATCTCTATAAAAAAATATTTTAATCAGCTGAATCTTGGCAGGTGCCTGTAGTCCAGCTACTCTGGAGGCTAAGGTAGAAGGATTGCTTGAGCCCAGGAATCTGAGGTTGCACAGATTGCACCACTGCTGTCTATGCTGAGCCAACAGTAAGACCCTGTCTCTGAAACAATAAAATATTTGTTCTCAAACTGAACTGACTTTTTCTCCTTCATCATATCCTTCAGGAAGTGCTAACTGCTGAGCAGACAGGTTTGTACCAATTCAGAGGCCTGCCAGTGCACCCTTGGCTGGCTTGGCTTCTGTGCTAGTGAGCAGTCAGCAGAGGGTCTCTGTGTAGATCCTCTGTAAAGCAAAGGAGTTCTTTACTTTTCTGCTGTCCTACTTCATAAGAGACCTGAGAACTGCATTTATGTGAAATCACAAGGAGTAGTCAGTCTCTTTCATGGATGTTTTGAGGAGACAAACATTTTAAATGTACTATTCCTTTTGTTAAACCTTAAACACTCCATGTTTGCATAGCCTTCCATCGAGGCCTAACCTGAAATCATAGCTTTTATGCAGTGTTGAGCCTTGTAACATGAAATACAGTCAGTCATTCTTAGGGAGGGGGATGGTTCCACAACCCACTGCAAACACCAAAACCCACAGATAGTCGTATCCTTGATATAAAGTGGCCTTGTATTTGCATATAATCTACACAGAAAAAAGTCTGTATATGTTCAGTACAGACAACAAACCTTTTTTTCTTTTTTTCTATTTTCTATCTGAAGTTGATAGAACCTATAGATGTGGAAGCCACAGGTATGAAGAGCTGACTGTATTTCTAAATGTCTGGGACTGCAGATAGTCCCATTACTTAGGACTAGTGAAAACATAGGCCATTCCCATTTTAAAACTCAATATCAGTAGGGCTCTTTCTTTGAAGTACATGTTAAAAATCTTCCCAGGTTTTCTCAGCCAGGCACAGTGGCTCACACTTAGCACTCTGGGAGGCTGAGGCAGGTGGATTGCTTGCGCTCGGGAGTTTGAGACCACCGTGAACAGAGCAAGAGCCTGTCTCTACTAAAAATAGGAAAAGTAACTGGGCATTGTGGTGGGTACCTATAGTTCTAGCTACCCAGTAGGCTGAGGCAAGAGGATCTCTTGAGCCCAAGAGTTTGAGGTTGCTGTGAGCTATGATACTACAGCATTCTACTCCAAAAAAATAATAATAATCTTATCAGGTTTTTGGAAAAAAATGTTTCATTGTTCTGATAATATATGCTCTGCAGTTGAGCTTTGTGGCAATTCCTTAGTTCTTCAGTTTTTGCAACAAATGTGACTAAAGGTCCTGATATACTTCTGAAATATCTGCTTCTAAATAGTGCATGACACTGTGTCCCAAAGGCCAGAACTTCAGTATATTGCTGCTCGTGACTGAGCAGTGGGAACACAACTTTCTTCACAGAACGTAGTGTAGTATTTGATACTTTTAGAATGCCAGTGCATTTTAGGGGTGACGGTCATTCCACATGTGTTGATCTGAAATGAACAGTGGTGCTGTTAATGGTGTTCTTTGATCTTGATACCCAGCATTTGTCTAGTCCAGTGTTTTTCAACCTTTTTTATCTCATATCACACTTGAACCTGTAGGTAAACTTCTGTAGCACACTTAAATTATGTTGATCCAAAAAAAATTTTTTTAATAATAATATACTTTACTGTGCTTTGAACTTCTTTTGAAAATAATTAAAGCTCCTCTTAGAGCACACCAGTATGCCATGGTACACTGGTTGAAAATCACTGGTCTAGTCATAACCAGACTTCAGGACTTCAGGTGATTATCCTCACATAGATCCCAGGACTCACCTGGATTAATAGTGGTGGTGCTTCCCATGATCTAGGCCAATACTATATAGGAATATGAACAATGGTTAAGAGTTGGCAATTAATTTTAATAGGTTTAATCAACCTAATATGTGCAAAATATTTCAACATTGTGATGCGTAAAAAGACATATCTATTCCATACCAGCCACATCTGAGCTCTCAGTGACCAGTGGCTCCCATGGTGGAGTGCACGAGTCCAGCCCTATGGGCCAGGTTTGCAGTGGGGGTAAATGGTGGATGCCCCTTGTTCTGGAGATGTTTAAGGGAGTGTTAGGGCATAGTCTGAGCTCTAGATCCAAATTGCCTGCGGGTAAATCTTGGTTCTGATATTTCCTATCTGGCTTTTGGCAAATTACTTGATTTCTTTTTATCTCAGATTCATCATCTGTGAATAGTCCCTGCCTTATAGGGTTATTGTGGGATTAAGTGAATGTAATACACTTGCAAAGTGCTTAGGATAGCATCGAGCATATAGTGAACACTTAACAAATGTAAACTATAGTATTAAACACTGTTGAATGTGTTTATAGTATTAAACACCACTGTATAGTAATTAAAATTCGTATAAACTATACTGAATGTAGCTCAGTTTCCCTTAGTTTTAGGGAAACTTTTAATTTTTCTTGTGAGCAGTCATAGGAGTAATTTCAAAATACACAAATTTCTAGAGTTTTTTGGCATAACGAAGATACATAAAACTTTAAGGAAATCTATGAGCACTAAGTCATACCAATATTAAATAATTGTATGTGATTTCTTCAAGGATGTTAGGAAAATACTCTGCCTTGTCCAGCTATATGGTAGCCTCTGCATGGTGACAAACTTCGAGGTCATCCCTCAGTAACTTGTGTTTGCTCTGTGCTTGTAGGACCATGAAGCCCCCAGGGGGAGAATCAAGCAATCTTTTTGGAAGTCCAGAAGAAGCTGTTCCTTCAACCAGGCCTAATAGGATGGCATCTAATATTTTTGGACCAACTGAAGAACCTCAGAACATACCCAAGAGGACAAACCCCCCAGGTATGGGTCTTCCTAAGTCCTTAATCCTTTGGCCTCTACCTGTTTTATGTTCTTTTGGAGATGTTGTCTATTTCTTTATATATACTGATCCTTTCAAATATTTTCTGGTATAGGTTATCACTTGTCATCAGAGTTCTTCCAAAATGAAAGGAAGTTCTCATGATTTTTACTTTTCTCTCCTGAAGGTAACTCAAGCATTCTTGAATTCTCCATCTATTCAACAGACATTGGTTGAGTACAGGCACTGAGGATACGAAGGGGAGGGTGGGATTCTGGTTCCTACCAGGGAGGCTCTTCCAGGTGTCCCATGGGCCCCTTAAGATTCCCAAAATTGCATGCAAATTATTGCACATTTAAAAACCATTTTCCTTAGGGAGGGAAAATATTTTTAATCAGATTATCAGTGGGATTAAAACTCTAGAAAGGGAGGATTAAGCTAGCACATATCTATATATTAATAGTTCTTCAGTATTTACCCCACCTTCTAGTGATTCCAGTGGGAGAGACCCTTTGAAAAAGGTTTGTCTTGACTGCTAAGACCAGGCATCTTCAAACTACAGCCCACGGGCCACATGCGGCCAGCCTAGGACATTTATCCAGCCCGCTGGGTGTTTTTGCTGCCACTGCCTGTCCTGCTTAGTAGCTGACTCGTTCCAGAGCCCACAGTTCAGCCCTCCAACGATCTAAGGGGCAGTGAACTGGCCCCCTATTTAAAAAGTTTGAGGACCCCTGGCTAAGACTGTGCAGTCAACTCCATATGGTGACTGATAACTGAGTAGCTCTCCCCTGTCTGTATCCATTGGGGCAGTGGTTCTCAACCTTCCTAATGCCACAGCCCTTTAATACAGTTCCTGTGGGTTGCGACCCATAGGTTGAGAACTGCTGCATTAGTGGAATGCATGATTTATTCCATCCTTACAACATTTGGGAGGCCATGCCCAAGAGACAGTATGTCAGACAGTGTGTTAAGCAGAACCAGAATTAGAGCTACTCACTGCCCCACCCCAGTTTTGGGGACAAAAATCTCTTCACCAAACGTACAGGAAAAAAGCAGTAGATTCAGAAGCTAGGTTTTTGTTTGGTTGGATATTTTCATGGATATAGCAAGTGGTTTCCTCTTTATGATTTTTAGGGCCAGGGATAGTCAGCCGTGCACATCCTTTGCATCAGTGGTAGCAGAACAGTATTGTATGCAAGATAGAATCAAATCCAAGGCAATTCCAGGTGTACTAGTTCATTCGAGCCTAGCTCGGGAGAGTGGGAGAGTGGAGCTGAGATGGTAGTACGCGAGGGCCATGAGTTTAATGATGCCCACTTCCATTTAGCATAACGCTTTGTGGGAAGTAGTTGCTTGGTATTTGTAAGAGATGATTTATTGGTGTCTTTCGATAGCCATCTTTTTGCTTAATATGGGATGGGCATTTATGTTTTACATCCAGGCCTTAGTTATCCACTTATAAGAAGTAATGTCTTAGATGCACATTTTTACTGTGGCTCATCAAGTCACGTAGAGTTGGCAGCAAAGATGGTACATGTCTCTAATTCACTGGGCTATCCAGTTTTCCCTGGCAGTTCCAGCCAGAGTGAGGTCAGAAGGACTAATAAATAATTATTTTCCAGGTTACAGATTTCCCTGGAATAGGGCATGTTATTAAATTCAGAACTCTATGTGATTTAAACATTTAGCTGTTTGCTTTTAATCTATTAAAGAACTATTCATGGGTTTAAGGAAGAAGATGCTTTAACAGAATAGCATGAAATGTTCGGGGTTAAGGAATTTTTACAGGGAAAATGCGCTATTTTATACCATACTCCCTTTAGAGGCCAGGCCAGGTCAGATCAGTTCTAGACATGAAGGCTGTAGCAGGCCCCAGGTGAAGGGTTGGGTTTGATGTGGGTCTTTTAGAGAGTTAAAGTTTTACCGTCCTCTCCTGTTGGCCTAGAACTCAGGGCTGGCACTAGGGTGTTCCTGTGAGATGTGACAACTGTGTTGGATACAATCAGACAGGTGTTCCGAATGCTTAGTGTTCTGTGATTGCTTCTGCAGGGGGGAAAGGAAGTGGGATCTTTGAGGAATCGACTCCTGTGCAGACTCGACAACATCTGAACCCCCCTGGTGGGAAGACCAGTGACATTTTTGGTTCCCCAATCACTGCCTCTTCACGCTTGGCACACCCAAACAAACCCAAGGTATGAACCACATTTAGATAGCAGACATGGAAGAAAAACAGGTAGGCCAAGTCCTCTTTAAAAAAAGGCTCTATGCCAGGTATGACACGTTGGTAGGAAGGGACAAGGTGGATGACGTTGCTTTTCTTGGGTCCAGTAATTAGTCACTGAGTTTGGAACCTCTCCTGAGTCATACAAGAAACAATCCAGCCTTGAACAATCCAGCTCAGACAGTGTGTCAAGCAGAAGCAGAGTTGGAGCTATTCCCTGCCCCACCCCAGTTTGGGGGACAAAAATCTCTTCCCCAAACGTACAGGAAGAAAGCAGTAGATTCAGAAGCTAGGTTTTTGTTTGGTTGGTTAGTTTCATGGATATGGCAAGTGGTTTCCACTGCATGATTTTTAGGGCTAGGGAAGGTCAGTCGTGCACATCTTTGCATCAGTGATAGCAGAACAGTAGGTTACATGCAAGATAGAATCAAATCTTGGCTCGGCGCCTGTGGCTCAAGCGCTAAGGCGCCAGCCACATACACCTAAGGTAGCGGGTTCAAATCCCCAGCCGGGGCCCACCAAACAACAATGATGGCTGCAACCAAAAAATGGCCAGGTGTTGTGGCAGGCGCCTGTAGTCCCAGCTACTTGGG